GCCTAGTCGGCTCAGTACTTCCAACTCTCCTATCACAAAGGAGTAAAAGCCCCAGGGGAATCGGCTGGAGCAAAGAGAACTAAGGCAGCAGGCAGGGGAGCAGAAAGTTTGGGGCCACGAAACTGGTTTCTTTTTGAAGCTGCCCTCGTTGACTTCTTCTCCCAAAGGGGAAAGAGTAAAGAAAGTTGGCTGTCCCGAGAAGATCACGAGCCCAGGCTGGGCAATGTTTGCGCTGAGTGAAGCATCTCCACAATCCAGGAGAGGCTGCCCAGCCTGTATCGGGAGCTGGATATTAAAAATCAATTCTGTTTGTGGTGTTGCTCTCTCTGGCTTTGTAAAAATAGGCTTGATCTGATCCAGTTTCTTCTCAGCTAAAACTATCTTACAAAAAACAAAGCAGAACAAAACCAAAAAAGAGCCCCTTTGGAGATGCTGGAGCACTTTTTAAAAAAAATCTTTTTATTCTTATTGAATTACACATTCCTGGGATTCACCTTTCCCTGAGGCTCTGTGGTTACCACCACAGTGTTGCTGGTGCATGTGTTTCATTGGGGGGAAGGAGGAAAAGCCTTGTTGGAAATAAAGGAGAAATCCAAATAATTCACTCCCATCTTGCAGAATCAATGGAATGAAGTCCTATTTTCCATCTTCTTCATTAAAATTAACATCATTTAATAATTCCCAAAGTTTTCTCAAAAACAAAAAGACCTTTAAAATAAATAATTAAATGTCGTAGGTGAAGTTGTTTTAAAAGGAGAGGGTAGAGTGCGGAGAACCGGGAACCGACCTCTCTGGGCTCCCCTCCACCCTTCGCAACATTTCTCCGGTCTCCTATTCTTCTCACCGGCATCATCTCGTTTACAGAAAATATTTGTTTGCACTATTAGTTGGTACTGGAGTTAATTACTCAATGTGTTAACGTGAAGTAATATGTATAAAAGTAGGATCAGTGTTTATTGTGTGGGTGAGCTGTTGAGCAGTGCTTGAATAAACTGCAATTAGGGTTAGATAGAGATTAATTAACATGTGAGTGGCAAGGTGTAAAATAGTCTCCAACCCTCCACTTCCAATATAATCTGCGGGCGAGGAAGAAGTTTGTATTTTTTAAGCTAATTAAATACTTTCCTACCAGCCAGTGTGTATTCACCCAAGTCTGGAAAGGAAGGCACTTTAGGGAGAACCCGGTTTCCCCCTCCCCCAAATATTTTCTTTCTACGGGCTGCAAGGGAAGGTAGAACGCCTCTGTAGGGAGAGGGAAGATGGTTAATGTTCTCACTTAAGCAGCTCTGGGGATGGAGAAAGGACCAGGTTCACGAGAAGTCTTTGCCTTTGCTTTTGTCTTCTCCGAACTTCAGTAGATAGAGGTTGACAATTGTCCGAGCTGGAAAGAAGGCTGGGAAGCTTGGAGCGAGAGGGGGAGGCAAAGAGAGGTGGGGAAAGAGAATAGAGTAGGAATTTAACTATCCCTCCCCCCGCCCCACGGTATTTAGAAAGAAAATCTGTTTGTACCTCCACGCATTATTTCGGTGTTTGGGGTGAGTTGTTTGTTTGTTTTATGTTCGGTTGTATTTATTTTTGGAGGGGCCAAGATTAATCTGAGAAGGCCAGTTTAGCTGTGTATGGGATAGACAAGCTGAGCCAAGCTCCTGCCATTCTTTTCTACTCTTGAAATGGGGAGGGGGAAGCCTAGTTGGAGTAAGAACGCCTGGAAATTTAGCATCCCTCCATATCTCCAAAGTTAAATCAAGCGTACAATCCTTTCTCAAAGTTGCCAGGGCGGGGCAGGAGGGGGAGTGGGTGATGCAGGAAGGATCTTTAAAACTGAATTCAACAATGTTTTGAAAACTTCAGGGTCTTGCTGTAGATGAGAGCCGCAGCCCGAGCAGCCTAGTCTCCTATAATCTGATTCCGAATTGGATGCTTGTACCTTTTCCTCCCTGCCTGCCTTCTTTCTTCTCCTTTCCCGCCCCTTCTTCCCTATCTAGCTATAATCTACATTCCCTCACCTGTCGAGTCAGATTCCTTGATTTCTTGTCAAATTGGGAGGGAGGAGAGAGAGATGTAAGAAGAATTTGGGGACGGGGGAGGAGAGGTTGGAGTGGAGTGTAACCAAGACCATTTTTCTGCTTCCCCTCACCTATCTTGTAGGACAGACAAGGGATGCAAACGCCGGTGACCCCGGTCTAGTTGGGGGGACACGGGGTTCTGTAACAAACTGTGTGTCTGTAACAGCCTGGCGCGATCCTACGATCACAGTCAGCCCTCTCTGTGGCGACATATGACTACATACTTCTCCCTTTAATTCCCTACCGAATTCATCACTATAACGTTGTGTTCACAGTCATAATACTGTTTAATTACAATTTGCAGCTATAAAACTCATTGTCATGCTAAAACTTAGGCTGCCAAGAGATAGTTGTCCGAAGAACAAAACCTGCCCAAGTTAAAAAAAAAAAGGAAAAAAAAGGAAAGGGGGGGAAAAGCCTTTAGGATCTTCTCTCCTAAACCTTCTTCTTCCCTCCCTTCTTCCACCCAGCACCCAACCTTCATCCCCAACTCAACCTTTTCCCCAGCCCCAGCCCAAGCCTATGTCCATGCCCATGCCTATGCCCACTAGCTCCAGCAGCCTCGACCACTTTTTCGTTGTCTGGGAGAGCAAACCGGCCAGGGGCAAGCACAAGCCGCACCTCATTGAGAAGAGTTGTTTCTGGGGCTTGTTGTGATACGCAGGTGAAAGGGTCTTTAAACAGACGGAATTCAGCCCCTCCAAATAGAGAAGGCCGCGGGCTGCCTTTGTGCGCGGCGCACAAAACGCAGGAATTCCAGCGAACTTTCCGGAGGGGCCTGGCGAACCAAAGAGGCCTTTTCTTCGCTTTTCCCCTCCGGGCAAACTAAGTCCTCGCCCAGCCCTTCTCCCGCCCCCTTCAGCCTCTCCCCCCTCCCCCTCTCTCTCCCTTCACCCCTCCCTCCCCTCTGATAATCCTCCTCTTTATTTTAGAAAAACACAAAACCCGGTTCCACGCAGTGCTTTAGTGTCTCCCAGTGAAAGAACTGCCTGGGCAGAATTGAGCTCCATGAATCACTTCGGGAAAATTGGTTCGGCTGAATGGCCTTGGGAGGAAAAACGTTTAATAGGATCCAGGGGGAGGTTCTGCTGTTTCAATCTGCTCCTTAAACAGGTGGAAATTGGACTTTCTCAATTATCCAAACAGTAAGTCCCCATCTGAGCTAGGGGAGCGGGAGCCTGGCTCTCCAATCCTCCGGATTGGAGAGCACCCCCACCCCCAGCCCCAGCCTCCCGAGCCAGGGTTTTAATTAGAAACACAGAGTCACAGTCACAATTCTCAATTGATCAGGAAATCAAATAAACTCCTGTTTTTTTAAGGTTTTGTATTTTCCTCGCCAGGGACAAGAGGATGCGTCCAAAGCGGCGCACCCACACATTGGGAACCCCAAGGGTACTGGTAATAGGCCCTAGGAGATTTTCCTTGATGAATTTTACCCCTTTCCTCCCACCCCACTCAATAGGGAAAAAAAAGATCTAAGTTCATGCATTTGCATAAATTATATTTCCCCATTCCTCCCCCAAAATAATTCCCCCTCCTCCAAACCCGGAGCGGGGGCCAGGCGGCACATCCTAATGAGGTAATTAGCATTTGCGCGTGTATCCAGCCGAGGCTGGCTCCGTGGGTAAGTGGCAGTTTATGATAACGATGCCCAGATCAGTAGCAGAGGGCCAAGGGGCCACTTGAAAGAGCAGACGGCCACGCAGTGACCATTTGGGGGAGGAGGTGGAGGGGCTTGGTCCCTAACTCCCGCTGCCCGCAGCCCAAGCCAAACTCTCAGTCCTTCTCCCCGAAGTCCCTGGGAGCTGCAACCAGGAAAAGTTGTGAATCACGCACCAAGTCTGTCTTTTCCACTCCCCCCTACCCTCCACGGACCTCTCTCTCTCTCTCTCTCTCTCTCTCTCTCACACACACACACACACACACACACACACACGCACGCGCGCGCACACACACACTCCTTTCTATCTGCTCTCTCTCTCTCTCTCTCTCTCTCTCTCTCTCCTCTCTCTCTCTCTCTCTCTCTCTCTCTCACTCTCTCTTTTTCTCTCCCCTGCTTAGCAAGTGGCGCGCACTTGCCCCAGGGGCGCTCGGATACTCGGCTGCGAATTGTCGACGTTCAACTTTTAGGGGCTACGGGTTGCTGCTGCGCCTGCGGTTTTGGCTGTGGCGCCAGGAGCTGCTGGGCCGCCTGGCGCTAACTGGGCGCGCGGAACTACGCCCGGGCCACCGCCGCTGCCCTCTGCTGCTGCTGCTGCCGCTGCTGCCACCACTGCCGAGCTACTGCTGCTGCTGTGAGCGCAGCCCCGTGCGCTCATGTCATTCTGCTGTAAGTGACTTCATGTGATGTCAGCTAAATGTAAAAGACAGTGATCTCACGCGGAGGGAAGATGTTGGCTATCAAAATGTGACAGTGTAGCCCTGCTGCGTGCCTCGTACGCATCTCTCTCCTCGGCGCCGGGGGAGAAAGGTAAACGTACTGATTTTCCATCTTCTTTTATTTTTAAATTTTCCGCCCTTCTCCTACTAGTTTTTGGTTTGAGTGTTATAGAGTCCGGGCTGCTCGGGAACGTTGGGGGTCTTGGGGGGGGTTGCTTTCTCCCTTCTTTCATTTTCCACCTTTTTATCCTCCCTTCTTTTCTTCCTCTCCCCCCCTCCCCTTCATTTAAACTGATGAGATCTAGATTGGTCGGTTACTTTTGTGCGACCTGGTTAATGAACAGTGATCTGGTACCTTTGGGTGCTCATTGTTTAGGGCTCGGTTTATCTGAATGCAAATGGGTGGCCCGACTCGGACAAGGCGTTTATTAAATTGATGTGTGTTCCCTGCCTTTTCTGGAATGCAGAGTTAGATCGGAGCAACGTCGCCTGGGAGGGAGGCCGGCTTCGCCCCCCCCACCCCCCACCCTCTGCGCCCCAGCACCCCTGCTCCCTTCCTACCACTGGAACCCACGACAACTTTTCCTCGAGATGGCGAGCTCGACTTCCCTCGAGACCATGGTCCCATCATCCTGTTCCCGGACCGGAGCTTCCACTGCCACGTCCAAAACCTTGGCCTTCTCCATCGAGAGGATCATGGCCAAGACTTCGGAGCCCAAGCCCCCCTTCGAACCCCGGGGACCAGGGGGCCTGGAGATGGACGGGGGCGCCAAAAAGATGCTCAGCCTTTGCTCGTCCTTGCCTTGTATGATCCCCATCCAGCCGCTGGGCTACGAAATGCCGTCCAAGGCTCTGCTCAACTACACCGAGCTTTGGAAGAGTAGCCTCCGGAGCGGCGGCGGCGGCGGCGGCGGCGGCGGCAGCAGCGGAGGAGGAGGAGGAGGTAGCGGCGGCGGAGGAGGTGGTGGCGGTGGGAGCAGCGGGGGACCCCAGCTCTGCGGTGCCAGCGGCTTGTGCAAAGCCAACTGCGGCATGTGCTGCAAAGCGGAGTTGAGCCTGGCCCCGTCCGTGCTGCCCACCGGCAGGGTCATCAAGCCTCAGGTCATCAACCAGGCCGTGGGGCTGCCGGGCAATGGCTCCCTCTATTACTTCAACTACCTGGAGTCCTCGGCGTATCCCCCGTCGGAGCTACTCAATGGGCACCTCTTCCCCTCCAGCATCCTCAACTCCCAGTCCCAGGCGTCCCTGGCCACCCATCAGAAACTCTTCTTGTTGGAGAACGCCAAGCTGGCCACGTTGGCCGCGGACAAATTCCCCCATCCCCCTTACCCCCACAAAGAACGCCTGCCCGGGCAGCTGGACCAGGTAATGAAGGAGAATACTGCACTGACGGCGGAGCGTAACGGGGCCAAGAGTCACGGTAAACTGGCGGCGAGCTCCGCTGACGGCAAGCCCAAGAACTTCACCTGCGAAGTGTGCGGAAAGGTGAGCCGGGTAGGGTCCCCTGGAGAGAGCCCCTGGTGAGAGGGAGGCTCCCCACCTCTCGACCGCCCGGACTTCCCTGTCGGTACCCGGCAGTGCCTGCTTCTAGCTGCATGTTGAGGATGCCAAGAGGGGGTCCAGGAGTTGGGAGGATGGACGGGGGTGGCCACGGGGAATGGAAACCGCTAGCCCGCCTAATCCCAGGTCCAGGAGCAGAGACCAGGCCGGTGCCGGGGAATGAAAATAAAGAAGGCCCGCGGAGGTGGGGTATGTGAGCTAGCCTCTCCCTCTGGGCTTGCCCTACAAAGCCCTCTCGTGTCCCGCCCCTCCACTAGGTGTTTAACGCTCACTATAACCTCACTCGTCACATGCCGGTCCACACGGGAGCCAGGCCGTTTGTCTGCAAAGTCTGCGGGAAGGGCTTTCGGCAAGCCAGTACCTTGTGCAGACACAAAATCATCCACACCCAGGTACGTGGCCTTCGCCCGGCTAGCCCAGGCTGATGGCCTGCTCCCCCGGGGCTGGATGAGGGCTATGCCACCCCCAGAAGAGAGGGATGGGCAGGACAGAGGGACCCCAGGGACTTCCTCGAGCCACTCTGAATGGCTCCAGCCTCTCTCTCTCTCTCTCTCTTTCTTTCTCATAGCTAGGGGCCAGAAGAGGCCAGAGTTTAGGCTTTCCCTAACCGGGTCATCTCCTCCACTTTGGGGGCCCCTCGCCTCAAACTCTCTCTGTCTCCCGCCCCCTTCCTCCACCCCAGGAAAAACCTCACAAATGCAACCAGTGCGGCAAAGCCTTTAACCGGAGCTCCACGCTTAACACGCACATCCGAATCCACGCGGGCTACAAGCCTTTCGTCTGCGAATTCTGCGGGAAAGGGTTCCACCAAAAAGGTACTCGGACCTCCAGAGCTATTGCCTGAAGGAAGGGGGACAACAAGTGAGGGAGAAAGAGAAGGAGAGAGTGAGGGGGGGGAGAAAACCCAATCCCACTTTAGTTTAGAATCTCTTTTTCCCTGGTTCGTTCCTAACATCTTTCGGCCAAGACATTTGTCCTAATCATACTAAGGGGGCCCAGGCGGACTGGCCTATGGGACTCAGTCTTAGGGCCTGGGCTAGGGAGAAGGTAAGGGCAGGCTTTCTCTCTCAAAACAAAGATTTATTTGCTACCATTCAGAAGGGGGAAATGGAGGAAAAGTAAAAATGATAGAGTCCTTGGGAGAAGTTTGGAAAGATGTTCCTTTACTGTGCTAGGATAGCAGTAAGAGGGGGTGAGAAAAAGGAGGTCCCGGAAATAGAATGAGGAGGTTGGGACGGGAGAGGAGAACACTGGAGTCAGGACAGGAAAGGCCCAAAGTTGCAACTCCAAACAAGACCCTTAAGGTTTTCTTCATATCAGACGGGCAAAAGGAAATTTGTTAACTTCCTCCCAAGTCACTCTCAAACGCTGGTCTGCTTGAGTTTTCAGCTTTCCTAGACAAACATACACAGATACATTATACACACACATATATACACATATACCTATATATGAGGCTACACATATATGTATATGTTTCATTTGTGTGTATAAAATGTGCACATATGTATTTAGTTTGTGTGTGCATACCCCATATATGTGTAAGGGTGCTGGGTTACATATGTATTGAGTTTGTGTGTGCATATTAAATGTGTGTGTGATCTCAAATGTATATATTTAATATCTTGGATGGGAGTGGGGAAAAGAGAGCCTTGAGAATACAGCCTAAAGTTGAGAGGTCTTTGCATTTTTCTTCGACTTCCCAGAGTAAAGAGAGACTCCCTAACTCCCCAATGGAAAGTCTGGAAGACAGTAAGATACCTTTAAACACACACACACACACACACACACACACCACACACACACACACTCACACACAGAGCAGTAACAGGGGCAATAAGGAGAAGGCAGGCAGGCAAGCTCCTGTTGGTGGTATGGGTCAGAACTCTGACCCTCCCTCCATCTTGTAAGTTGGAGTCATTGCATCCCCAGTACAATGCTGCACCTCTCCTCCATCTCCAGATTGATGGAAAGCAAGTTTGACAACTTCTTGACTCTCACTTGTGGGACCCAGCCTAATGAAGCACTGCCTCCTTGGGGCAACAATTGAAGCATGAATTCCCCCCATTCCCCCCCCCCCGGCCAGGCCTGGGACCCTGGAATCTCTCTCACCTCTCCCTCCACCATCACCACCATCATTCAAACCCATTCTTTTATTTTTCTTTTTTGGTAGGAAACTACAAAAATCACAAACTGACCCACAGTGGGGAAAAACAGTACAAGTGTACCATCTGCAACAAGGCCTTCCACCAGATTTATAACTTGACTTTTCATATGCACACCCACAATGACAAGAAGCCTTTCACGTGTGCCACTTGTGGGAAAGGATTTTGCAGAAACTTTGATCTAAAGAAGCACGTGAGGAAACTCCACGACAGTGTGGCCCCGGGAGCTCCTTCCACAAAGGACTTGCCCCGGACTGTGCAGAGCTGAAAGCTTCGGCTCCAAACAGGACCTGGTTCCTCTCCCTCCACACCACCTGACCCTCGGAGACCAGAGAGAGACACTGATTTCTAAGATTTAAATAGATACATATATAAATATAAATATATATATATATATACATACAGCAGAGAGGTTAGATCTATTTATCGAAACCAACATCTATTTTGGAAAGCTAAAATGTCTCCCTATGAATAGGGAGCAGAATTGTGCAAACACACCCCCAGACACACACGTGTACAGAAAGGGGAAAACTTATTTAAAGTGAAGTTCAGGACCTCAGAGCTCCCCGGAGACATTTGATTGAGGGGTGACAGAGGGTGGGAGGGGAGGGTAGACTATCTGAACCTAACTTTTCGACACTGGCTGAATATAAGGGAGCTACATTATGAGCCCATCCACTTTCTACATTTCTGTAAATTTCCATGTATGATTGATTAAGGAATATATCTATATATGATTATAATAAACCGATTCCATTCGCAAGAGTCTTCTTTGCCCTCTCCCCAGCATTGGGAGAGGGCGGTGGATGGTAATGCCTTTCCTCTTCTATCCTGTTTCCTTCTTTCTATCCATTCTTCCTTCCTTCTTTCATTCCCCTCTCCTTTTCTTTCTTCCTTCCATCTTTCCCTTTTTCTCTCTTTCTCTTCCTCCTTTCCTCCCTTTCTTCCTTCTTTCCTCCCTTCCTGCAGCTGATGCTCTGACCATATTTCTAAAAGTTATCTTTTGTGTTTTTCAAGCCAGCCGGGAGCTTGACTGAAGGAGATGCGCTGGAACTGGAGTGGGAAGAGAAACCTCCACACGATTTGTGGGGTGCTCCTGGGTAACTGAACTGGCACACTAATGGGCTGGGGGGCTTCTATTCAACTTACAAAAACATTGAAATGCCTTGTTTTATTTGTTGTGTTGTGTTTAACTAACGTGTGACCTACAGTGAGATGCGCCTTCCAAAGGAAAGGATAACCGTTATGCCAGGGTGTTGAATTTCCTACGCAGGACCAGGGGCGAAATGTTTTTTGTGTTGTGGGAAAAACACACGGTGTTGCCGAGCCAGGAAGCACCTGTTTGCTGGACTGCTCTGCGGGGAGAAGTTTCTTCTGTTTCTCTAGCCGGGGAAGTTGGTGGGGAAAGTGGGAAGAGAGGGGGAGAAGGGAGGGCTGGGAGCGGCGATGACGGCGCCGAGCACGTAGGTGCGCCCCTGGCTGTACTGCCACTCTCGCAACAGTATTGGCCCGCGCGCATTTCCGGTCTACTTCTCCTCCTACGTTCATTTTACTTACCTGGGCTTTCGTTCACAGAACTTGATCTGCTCCTCCCGAACCCCAGAAAGGCCCAGGGCTGTCTCCAAGACGGGCCTCTTACTCCCCAACACCATATGCCTCTGCTTCCTGGACCCATAAAGAACCCACCCCAGCCCCTCCCCAGCTCCCGGGGGAAATGTTCATCTCCCTCTCTTTTTCTTTTCTTTTTTAAAGGCCAGTGGCTACAGGGACTAGTGGCCTGGCGCTCATGCCCAAGGGAGAAAAATACTCAGGACACAGAGAGAGCAATCGGGCCTTTTCCAGATTGGGACGCCAGAGCCTGGGATGCCTGAGGCCAAGGAGCCGTCAACCAGGTCCCCTTCCTCCCCCGTCCACTCCTCACCTCCCAACTTCCCACTATCCAAGCAAGGACGCTCTCTCCCTAGGACTCCCGGGACAGAAGAAAGATAGTGGGGCTCACCTCAGGGCCTTCCCCATCACCAACTCAGTTCGCTTCAACAACCCCATCTCCACCTTACCCTATTCAATTGGCATTAAATAGTATTATTATTTACAACAATAATAATAATCTCATTCCTCTCATCTTTTTCGACGGAGTTCAGATGGAAACGATCCTGGGCTATTGCTACTCTGCTAATGTTATCTAACATTTAATGTTCCGAAGACTATTATTATTATTAATCGGGTACTTAAGGCGAGGGTCTCTCTCCCCACTCCCGAATTAAAATCGCATGAAATGCGGGATAATGACGGTTTTCATAATCTAACATGTCACCTTTTGGTCCCTTAATTAAGACGCATTTAAACAATTTCCTGAATAGCTATCTTTTTTTTTTCTCGAATGCTGATGAAATGATCTCACGCTCGCTTTCTGAGTAATGACCCAAATTAAGAGAGAAAACAGAGACCCTTCAAACCGCATTACATTAATCATCTAATCATTCCCAGGAGGGGGGCCGGCTGCCTGAACCCTTTTTGATCAGAATATGGATAATCAAGTACTTGGATTACATCAACGGGAGCTCTGGGCAGCCCCCCTGCGCAGCCCCAGTCCCCCGCACACACCCCCCCCCGACTATGCAGCCGCCGCTACCGCCCTCCCCTATTTTTAATATCCAAGCGCCTATTCAACCCACGTCTTTTGGAACAATATTATTCTAGGGGAGAAAAGGGACGCGGGTTGCGGTCCGTGTGCGTGCTGCTCAGCCCAAGCTCGCCAATGAAAAAGGAAATAAACGCGTCGGGCTTTGTCTGGGGGCTGATTAAGGAGCTTTGAGTGTGTAAAAAGTGGGGAGGGGTGGTGACAGCGCACCCCACTAGATTAAGCGGCTGAAATGCTGGAGGGGGGAGACAGGGGGCTCAGTCACCCTCAATCCCATTCCCTCCTCCCGAAACGGGCTTTAATTAGGGACTGGGGTGGGGGGATGGGAAGGGCCGTGAGGCAACGTGGCCTCTCAAACTGAAAAGTTGAATCGGAGGAAAGAGGGTTATTTTCTGCTTAATATCTGAGAGGGACAGGGGGTTCAGTTGAGAACGTACATGCTACTTTTGGACCCCAATTTATTCATCTGTAAAAGCAGAGTTAAATGAAGAGATCTCTAAAATCCCTCTGGCAGTCTGAAGAGTCTGCTCTACATACTCAATCCGTTTATGATCTGGGCCCCGGTTTGTTCATCTGTAAAAGAAGGAGCCTGGGCTGGACAAGCTTGGCCTCTAAGGACCTTTCCAGCTCTAAATCTATGACCTCTGATCTCTAGGGTCCCTGGCAAACCTAATCTTTTGGGATCTAGTATTGAAACCTGCCTATGTTCTAGGCCACAATTTGTTCAACTGCAAAAGGAGTGGTTGGACTATCCAGTCTCTAAAGTTGCTTGCAAATCTAGTATTCTGGGATCCAGAAGAAGAGCCCCAGTAAAAATGGTGGCTTGACCCTAGGGTCACTAAGACCTCTTCTTTTAAGTGTAATGTTTCCCAGAATGATCTAAGATCTAAAGCTGTCTCATTCTCTCCACCATCACCCCCACCCCCATCACCACCACCTTTGATCTGGAAACAAACCCAAAGTTGAGGGGGTTTTGGGGGGGGATTTTGAGTTTCCCCCTGTAGGGATGCCTGATTCCAGGGGAGGCAGGAAGCCAGTGGATTTACAAAGAAAGACCTCAGGCTCCTCAATACAAGGGGATCCTCATTTTAGGACTCCTTCACAAAAAAAAAAAAAAAAGGACCTTGCTGAGGCCCAGACAGGACAGGCACCTCGGCCTCTTTGCATCCCTCTGGCTCCCACCAATGGTTCCCCCAATTCACATGCCCATTGAAAGCAAAAAGGGAATTTGTCAACTTTATTTGTAAGGAGGCCGACAACAGCTTCATCAGGCTGTCACTGGGTATTTTTAGCGTCTCCGATTCAGAAATAGGAACATGTACATTATAATTCCATTTCCTGAAAGGATATAGTCCTGATTCTTCCCCACCACCTCCCCCCAAACAGCTCCAACAAGTCTGGGGAGATGGGGGGAGTGGGGAAAGGAGGAAGGGAGGGAGAATTTAAATGTTAGATTTCTCAGTGACTGGAATTCTCTGCAAAGGGAGGTTTGGTCCCACTGGAGTATGTAGATTCTACTCTGGAATCTCTGTAGACTCTATCCTCTCCAGGAAATCCCAATATTGTGTAAAAGAGCCCTTCCTGTCTGACGACAGAGCAATAGCAGATAGTTTCCTAGGCATCTCTGCAGGATGGTGGACAGGAGCAAATTTTAATGATCTCTGAGTTCTGTGGGTACCACTTGAAACTGGTAACAGGGACACGTTGCCTTTTCTAGGGGAGGCACATTTTGGTTCCATCAATCACATGCATCGATCCCCACATAGCATCCCTTCCCCAACAAAAGGTGTTCTGAAGTTTTTGTGATTTTTTTTCCCCTTTGTTTTATTGTTGTTGATCTGTCTTTGGACCAGAGATTCATCTGGAGGAGAGAAACTTAGAAACAAGCAGCAGCTCTCTCTCTTTTTTTAATCAGAAATTCCATTTCTGATTCTAGTTGTTTCACTTTGGGAAAGTCACTTAACTTCTTTTTAGTCCCAGTTCCTCATCTATAAAGATGGAGATAACACTAAAGTTGCCTCAGTTTCCTCATCTGTAAAATGAGGAAACTGAACTAGCTGGCTTCTGAGGTCGTCTCCCTTTAGAACTACAATCTCATGATCCTACGAGGCAGATTTTTTTTGACCCATCACTGAGTCAGTCAACAAACACTGACTGGATCTATGTGCCATCATCACTCTTGGCAAATGTGGAAATCTGTTCATTCAAATCTAGGTGTTTTTTTTTAAACTAATTTAAAAGCAAAAAAATTGGGGAAACTCTGGAATACAAGTGTTTTTTTCTTCCTCCCACCCCCCAATAAACAATAGATAAGAGATGTAGTCATTTTCTCTCAAACGGCAGTCTCTTCTCCCTCTCCATTTACCTGTCCTCTCCAAAGTAATCAACCGAAAGGGTGAGCATTCTTTGAGGAGTCCTGATGCCAAACTCTTCCCTGAAACCTCCAAATGAAAAATCACACTATTTTAAAATGAGTTAGTTTCCAGAACATCCACCCTTTTTTGCTAAATGACCTCGAACAGAAGAGATTTCGCTTGCCTGCAAAAGCAATGCCAACAACTATGAAAACCTTTCGATCCAGGTAAGAGTTTGTAGGCAGTTACTATGGGCTTCCCTCTGCAAAGACCTGGGAGCTTTGGAGCTAGAGAGTTCCATTCCAATGTCTTCTGCAGGAACTCTCCTGAGTCCCACCCCCAACACACCTCGCCCTTGGATTGTCAGGTAACCAAAACAGCTGGAAAGCCTAACAACAGCGTCCCCCCACCCCACCCCTAGGTAAAGCTCTCAGCTCGTTTCCCAGCTGCCCTCTTGTATTTATGGACTGTCCCTTCTCCAGGGAGGGATTCACCTGCAGGATACGGGGCTGGAGTAGAGACCCTGTGCTTAACTTTCTGGACTCCTTTCTTAGCCAAGCTGGGCCCTGAAACGAGCCCCCAGTC